CTCCTCTCAGCAGTGTATTTCTGTCCATCTGCCTGTTCTGCTCCCCACTCTGTCTCTGGTGAATCCTCTCACCCCCTGCACCTCTGCCTTGTACCCCAGTTCTGTATGCATAAATATATCTTTAAAAAAGAGAGAGATGTGTATTAGCTGAATCTCTAGGTCCTCATGGTTGGGGCACACTTCTTCTGATGCCTAAGGCAGGAACATTTTTCAAAATAATAAAGCATGGAAATTCATTTAAGCCTGCAAAGACACTTGGTTTCCAACCATTTCTGCAGCTCTGGATTGCTAACATGGCAGCAAAGCTCAGAGGGGCTGCGACATCAGAGGTGGAGTGGAGACCAGAACCCACGAGGGCGGCTGTGAGCAGGGTGGCCTTCTCGCCTCAGAGCCTGTGGCTCCCCCCGCACCCTGCAGCAGGAGTCACCCCAAGGCCAGGCAGGTGACCATCTACTTACTGAGTGCAAGTTCTTTAAGTTCTGGATGACTCGCAGCAGCACAGAGTTGATAGAAGATGTGGTAATTCCTCTCATCCTCTGCCTGAAGAAGGATAAAACCCAGCAGTTTTAGGGCAGTCAGAGGGTCCCCCGGGATTATGCGCTCACTTATTCCATTCCCAGTGGGCAACAGAGGTCACGGTTTTTCCTGACACCTCTGTCTCCTGCACTTCCCACCTCTGGATTTTCCATTCACCATCTGAGGCGGCCTTCTTCCAACCTGAAGCATTTTATCTCCTACACAAAAATGTCTATCTTTTTTTCCTCGATGAAGAATATTGTCGCTAGCCCAAAATGGGTCATCAGCCAACAGACATTTGTTCCGACATTCACGCTGCCTGGCTGATGTTACAGATTGTGAATTCCCTGCTGGAAGCCCGCTTTCTCCTCTGGGAGGTGAGACTCTACCCTTGGGGATCATTCCTGTAGCCCATTACTCCTCTGGGAGGCCCCAGGCTAAGCAGAAGCTACACCCCCTTCCATCGTGTCAGTCTGGGGGCCACGAGGAAAGGCCATGACTGAAGCAGGGCTCACTGGGGACCCTTGGCCAGTCCTGCCTTCAGTAAGCAGAGGGCTACAGGCGGGACTGCAGGGCCGAGGAAGGCTCGGCGTGGTGAGAGCCTGGCCCGAGCCCGGCACCAGTGTACCCCACCACCCAGCACAGCAGCCTGCTTGCTTGGCTGCAGCGAAATGCAGCATGGTCAAAAGAGTCATCAGACGTTTGCTAAACTCCAGCCTGGACACCGCTGCCGAGAAAGAGGCGTCTGGGTGTCCTCTGAGGGCAGCTCACACATCAGGCCCGGGGAGCCGCCGGCCACCGCCTGCGTTCAGCAATGGGGCTTGGAAAGGAGCTAGAGGAAGACTGTTTGGGGGGCTGGGGGAGGGAGGAATAGGGTCACCAAGAGGTCACAGAGTATTTGGGAAGGAGGGAGAGAAAGGTGAGCACAGAGCAATGAGGAACTGCGTCGGGGTGGCGGGGAGTGGCGGGGTCGGGCACCAAGTGGAAAGCCACGTAGGCTTGCCTGTCTTCCTTTTTCTATACATAACCAACCAATGAAGGAGTCTCCCGGGCAAGCTGGCCGCATGGGCAAGCTGACCACAGCCCCAGGAAGATGCTCTCCTCGCCATAAGCCTCCATGGTCTACCAGGAACAGGACTGTCCTGCTCTCACTGTGTCTCCAGGTGTCTAGCACGTATGAGCCATTTAATATGTGGTTGTTGATTGACTCTAAAGACAATTTCCACAGAGAAATAATACTGGCTAAAGACTTCTAGGCCTGATGACTGCAGCCTCTGAACGAATACTCATGCTGAAAGAGAAGAAAGAACTCAAAGAGCAGGTGTCTGCAATAGCAGGCTCCAGAGGTGAGCAGCAGCTCCTGGCAGCCGCAGCAGGTCAGGGAGTGAGCACCATGCACAGAGGAGAACAAGAAAGCCCCAAGCCGCCACGCACCTGAAAGACCACTCTGGACTTCTCCAACAGGTAGGTCCTCATGTTGGCCCCAATGATGTGGTACCTTTTGTCAAAGCCAATCTGAATATACTTGCCAAACCGGCTGCTGTTGTCATTGCGGGTGGTTTTAGCATTTCCAATGGCCTGCATAGAACAAACAGATCGAACATGTGCAAAACAGGCAGGGTTTTCTTATCTCAAGATTAGGCTTGTGCAGCACCACCTGCATTCCCACCCTCATCCCCAGACAGAGACAAACTTCATTTCCAGCTGCCTTGTCTCCCAAGGAAGACCCCCCCAAAAGGGACGAATTGATCGGGGGACTCTTTAAAACCATCTGGAACAGGTACCCCACTGTCCTTCCTCTCTCCTTCCTCCCTCCGGTCTGGAACACACACGTGGGGGCTTACAGGAGTAGAGTCATCTTGGGGTGATGAGGGAAAGGTCCAGACCACCGCTCTGACACCTCTGAACCACTAAAGCACTCATAAAACTTATAAGTGACATAAGGGCAAAACTTTGTTGCTTATACATGTATGAATTATTTGGTACAACAAACGTGATCTAGAACTAATAATTTCAATGCGACTGGGACTATACAATAATGAGGTTCATACAAAGTAGTGAGGGAGTGCAGGAAGGGAACAGTCAGCTAACCCAGCAGGATAGTGATGACTGAAGGAATCTTAAGAGAAGAGCTTTACTTGGGGAAGGACAGGGCATTTTTCTTGTGAATATAATGTGTGTGTGTGGGGGGGGGGGTTAGGGGAGGAGAGAGCACACACCGTGTAGCTTGGCTCCAGGGTATGGAAATGAGAGAAAAACGAGAGCTAATGAGATCAAGAAGGTGTGTAGGGGGCAGATTCCTGTATGAATGGGTTAAGAATTATAGGCTTTCTTGTTTCTTTTGCTTAGCAAAAGTCAAAATTACATAGCAACTGGTCTTAGTGACTTTGCTCCTTGTAGTCAGTCCCCTTCTTTTTCTGAGGATGGAGAGTGTTTGTGGCTCCCAGAGTGGTATGCCTGCAGACGCCAGTCACCCCAAGATGTTCCGTGATCCCTCTTCCCGGACTCCGTCTGACTCTGCTCTAACAGCCTCTTGATTATCAGCATCCTTTTAATCAGCACAGACTTGTGAACAAATCACCCCACAGATGCTGACGAGCTCTGCCATAGAATGGGGTCAGAGAGCTCTGGAGCTGACAATAAATCATCCCACTGCACCCCATCCTCACATCACCTTTAATTCAAACAGCTGCACACAGGGCAGCTGCCTGGGCGCTCAGCCTGCTCTGTGCCCAGCTCCCTGGGGAGCTGCTGCAGAAAGCTGGTGACAGGACATAAATGATGACTTTGCCGGGCTGTGGCACCCTTCCCGGGACGGGGCAGGCGTCAGTACTCAGCTGTCCTCTGATTAAGACCTGCCTGGTGGCGGTTATAACCTTCTGAGGAGCACACGAACAGACAGGGCTTCCTGGCACCAGGGCTCTGAACTGAGAACTCTGTCCTGATGGTGCAAAAGCCACACTCGCTCTGCCTGGTAATGCTCTTTTTAATTCCACCAGAGCTATCCCTGGCTACAATTATTCCTTTCCAAGCTTGTATCAAGATTTCTCTAAAATTGCAATACCTAACAAATTCTGTGTTTGACAGAATGAGCCCACAGACTTACCCAAGTCATTTTCAAGGAACCAATGTGCACCAGAAAGAAATTTCATCTTTTGAGCCCAAATGACAGTTGCATTTATTTACATGACATCATGCACGATTCAGCTAAGCTGGTCACACCTATAGTCCTCCACCTTGAGGCCCTAACAGCTGAGCCACATCTTGTGTGTTTTAGGCTGTGTGTGAGGCTTGGACATTCCCCCATGTCAAAGTACCCTGTGTCCACCAGCCACAGTGGCCACTGAAAACACTGGTGGTTTTGGACAACCGTCACTCAAGCGCTTCCTAAAGCAGAGACTAAGCTGATAGCTGCACAGCAGCATTATTCACAGGAGTGAAAAGGTGGGAACTACCCCAGCGCCCAGTCCCCAAGAAGTGGGTAGACAAAATGTAGCCACGCAGTAAAGTATTACCCAACTCCAGAAAGAAACAAAGCACCCACCCATTCTACAATGCGAGTGAATTCCGAAAACATGCTAAATGAACCAAGTCAGGCACAAAGGACAAATGTAAGAACTCACGTGAGTTTCCTAAAAGAGGCACATTCCAACATACTGAAAAGAGAAAAGGGTGCCAGGGGGAGGAGTCGGTCTAGTAGGCAAGAGCTGCTGTTTGGGAAGAGAAAACACCCTGGAAATGGGCAGTGGTGAGGCTTGCACCACACTGAATGCGCTCGGTGCCTCTGACCTGTACACTCAAAATGTTTAAAATGGTCAACTGTACATAATGTGTGTTTTACCACAACATGAGTGAAATTTAAAAAATCACTCCCGTTGTCTCGTACACGTTACATAACCTGGTGATCTGTCTTCACAAACTCCCCCGCTCGCTTAATGATGACTTTGTTCAGCCACAGAGATCAGTTTTCTCCCTTTTACTGTATTACCCCAAATAATTAATCACTGTTTCTCCAAAGAGGAGACATTCTGTGCCTTTGAATTCCGACTGCTTAAATGAGAGAACTGTATTTTCAAACTCAAGGCCAAGGAAATGTTGAAAGCCTGGTGTCACTCCCACCGGAGGTGAAATCTGATGCTGATTATAGTGACCTTAGCTGTCTCAATTTAGGGCCAGTCGACGGTCTGAGGCAGACCGAGGCCAAGTCCACGATCATCTTCTGAACTGGAGCCAGGGCCAGGAGGCCACCACTTCAGGGCTTAGCATAAACAGGTTGGTCACAGAAGCTACTGTAAGTAGGTGTCTACAGTCAGAGTCAAGCAAGTTAGAGTAAAACCATGAATTACGTGCTTTCAGCCAATAAGACAATTTGTTAAAAAGCTTAATGATACGGGCCTTCCCTGGTGGCACAGTGGGTTAAAGCACAGCACTAAGAAGCTAAAGCCACTTCTGCATGAGTTTGATCCCCACCCTGGAGGTGACCCACATGGCGTGGCAGACCTCTCCTGACCCGCCCGCTGCTCCCCTCAGCAGTGTACTTTGTCAGACGGCCTGTTCTGCACCCCACTCTATCTATGGTGAATCCTCTCACTGCCCCTGCATCTCTGGCCTGTACCCCAGTTCTGTATGTATAAATAAATGAATCTTAAAAAAAAAAAGCTTAATGATATGGTGACAAAGCTTATATTAAGCTATTCAGTAACAATGCTGGAAACACACCAAAATTTCAATGATTATTGGCTGACTATAGGATTAAGGGGGATTATATCCATCCATTCTTTTACATTTTCCAGAGAGCCTTTTTTTTTTTTTCTGATTGGCTAATTATTCTCAAACTGTGGTCCCCAGCCAGCAGCCTCTGCATTGCCTAGGAACTCATAACACAGGCAAATTCTTAGGCCCTTCCCAAACCTTGTAAGTTAGAAGCCCTGGGGGTGGGACCAGCCATCTGCTGTAACAAGTCCTCCAGGCCACTGGTCCCTCAGCGCTGAAGCTTAGGAACCACTGGAACAGACACTGAGTTTTTTCCTTTGTTATTATCTGTTTGGTGGAGAAACTTGTTTTCTTCTAATTCTCAGTGAAGATACTGCACTGAGACTCAACCGGAGATGAAATTCTCCAGAGGATTTTGTGGCCTCATCACCAAACTCCTGTGGACAGAGACTTGGAGTTTACTCATGACATACTCTGTCACGGTGCAATGTTGCTTCCACGCATATAAAATAAGAACACCAATTGGTGACTCCACCCTAGAAATTATAAGAAGAATAATTTACTCCTGCACTTGGGGAAGGGGGAGGGTGGGGGTGGGGGCCTGGGGGGCCCAGGCAGGCGTCCTCCCCCCAGCAGCCAAGTAATCACAAAGGGCAACCACGTTGGTGGCTGTGTCATCACGGAGGCTCAGGGCTGTGAGATTTGCTGCTCTCTTGGCACCATCACATTAAACAAAACTGCTTTTTACTAGAACAGAGGAGCTGCCCAGGGCTGCTAGAGGTCAGGCTACAGCCTGGTCAATAAGGAAGCACCTCAGTGTCAAAGGCAGGGAGAAGCTGAGCCAGGGGCTGTGCGGACAGTGAGCTCTACTCACAACCCAGTTTTTACAGAGAAAAGGAAGGAAAAGAAATGTGTCTCTGGCTCTCAAACCTGACTTACAGCAGCAAGACCTAAGCTTTAGGAACTCCCAGTGACCCTGTGTTTGCATCAACTGCTGAGTCCTGATGTTCTGTGGGTACAGGGTGAGGTAACAGCCAGGACCTGCCTGGCCCATTCGTGCCATCCCAAGAAACTGCTCCCTGGAGGTCTTCGGAGATTCTGCTGTCACATCCTTTTTGCCTTTAGTGACTTCCCCCAAAGGCAAAATGTTCCCACACTTGAGGGGAAGGAACAAATAAGGCATCGTCTACCTAGCTCCTCCGCCCCCATGCAAACTACCACCCAACTCGGTGGGCTTCACAGCACGGACGGCTGTGGCAGAGCACTGACTTGCTGACGCAGCGGCAGCAGGGAGAGCTACCGGCACTGACGTCACTCCAGACTTGGCAGAGTCAAGGGCCAAGGAGAACATCAAGAGGACAGCCTGCCCAGTACCGAGACCTCGAAGATACGGCCAGAATTAGATTATTCCCGAGCCTGTGGCCTTGCGGGGACCTTCATGACTTTTTCCTTGCAGTTGACAACGGGCATGATGCTGAACACGTGAGCAATCGCACGTGGCTGTGCGCCCACAGACCCACTGCCTGGGAGGCCAAGGGGGCCCGGAAGGCTTTACCTCCATGATGGGGCTGGACGCCAGCACCTTCTCTTCTATGTTGGTGTCACTGGCTGAGCCACCAACGGTGGCAAAATAGCGCATGGCGTACTTGGCTGACACAGTCTTGCCTGCTCCGGACTCCCCGCTGACGATGATGGACTGGTTCTTCTCATCTCTAGAAGGGAAAAGGCTCTGGTCAGTCACTGGCCATGCAAAGTCTCTTCTGGGGCTGCTGACAAAGGCCTGTGCCCAGCAGGGACATCTCTCCTCCCTTTAGGGTAACTGTGCGGGGTGGCACAGGACCTGAGAGTGAAGCGAAAGGAAGGAGTGGTGAAGTCCAGGGGAGGGAGACGCAGCCACTCTTCTGAATTCTCTCTGGATACAGCCCCCAGGCCATCCTCATGCACACTCATGCCTATGTGCATGTGTTCACATCACACACATATGCACTTTTGCAGGAGTACACCGCAAAAAAAGTATACTTTTCCCCCAAGCACAAAGATCTTTCCTCCTCTTGCATTTTGGCCCAGCATGTCAGGAGACAGTCTAGAATACTCGTGTGCACATAGGTATATCACAAAGGGCATGCTCAAGTTTTCCAGAAATTAGATGAAATAGCCATCCATTACAGTAAGAGTCAGACTAAATGGAAGATTAAAAGACGACACTCCATCAGATGAAAAATGCAGTAGGAAGACAGACAAGTGGAGAAAAGAGCAGCTCACAGGTCCCCAGGGACACAGGTGTTCAGGCAGGGAGTGAGGGCGCAGGGTGGGCCTCAGGCTGGCAAACGGGTGACTGGGCAGCTGACCTGGCCCAGCTCCAGGGCCCCGGGCAGCTCTGGCCCCGGGCTCACCCTCAGCGTACTTGCTGGGACTGGTGACAGCGTGGGGTTAGCCGCCTCCCTCCTTCCCAGGTGACAAGTGTGAAGGTGGGTGAGCACCCAGGGCTGGTGCCAGGGCTTCCTCTCTGCCCCTCCCACCCACACGCCTCCTCCCCGTCAGTGGCATGGTCTCTGCTCATGGACTCCAGACAGAAACCTCACGGTCAGCGTGGTTCTTCCTTTCCCCAAGCCCTACATCAGCCCGGCCCCTGAATCCATGTCCACTAGTCAGCTCTCTCCTCTGCCTTCATCTCAGCCACTGCCATCACCTGACACACATTACAAGAGCAGCTTCCACCCTCCACTCTCCTCCTGTAACAAGACCTTCAGATGTGAACACCCACAAACAAGCAACCACCCCTCTGCCCGCTGTCGGCCTTCCAGCAGCACGCTCCAGGCTCCCACAGCCCAGCTCCGCCATGTTCAAGGTTCCAGGTGAGCTGACACCTCCCTTCCCAGCTGTCTGCAGACCAACTCTCCTTCGTTCCCTTTGTCCAGGCCACACAGGACTTCCCTCTTGACTCCTACCTACTTTACAGGTGCTGATGCTATTTTTAGTTCCAAGTGGTTTTCCTTTCTTTGGTATCACAACTCTGAGTGTCTGGTGCTCAATCATCCTGCCTTTCGGTAGCTCAGATACAACCTGCAGTAGGTAATTAATTAACCACCTGTTTACTTCAGGCTCGAATGGTTTGCACAACTCTTGGCCATGCACCTTTGCTGAGGATTCATAATGCTGCTAGGTGCCAGTCTTTTCACTTTTAAGACCACAAAACTGAAGTTTGGAAAGGTTTAGTGACAGGCCTGGAGTTCTTGCAGCCAAGGCAGTGAGCCGGCACTTAAACCATGTGCTGTCTCCATAGTTTCCCACCAGCGGGGCTGGCCGTCTCTGTCTTATCATCACACCCCTTCTGGATCATAAACCTCCCACAGTGAATCCCCTTACCCAGTCTAGCCTCAGTGAGATTAGCTATGAGTCAGGTTTCTCCTCAGGTGAACAGCAACTCTTACCGACTACTCTGCCCACAAAGCACTCACTGGTTAATATTTTACTCGCTGTCTTAGTGCTCATCCCACTTGCTTCCCCCACTAGCACACAGGCCATCCAGGCGGGGGCTTGAGTGGGCAGCCAGCACTGAGCTGTGAGGAGAGAGCCCTGCAAGGCACATACAGTGGCTCTCACGGGCTGAGCACGGGCTGGCGTCCGCAGGTGTATCATCTATCGCCTACAGAGCTGAGGTTGGTGGTCCGAGTCCCACATTTTCACATGAGAAGAGGGCTGCTGAGGGGCCAGGGCCTCAGGTACCACTCTGTCTCTGAACTGAGCTTTCCCTAAGTGAGGGGAACAACGTGTGCTGAAGTGAAGCCCCTGACATGCGCCTCAGTTGCAAACAGGAGACAGAGGCAGCCTGGCTGCAGCACAGGAGGGAGGAGCCATGTCTGAGCACATCATTGAGCCCTCCACCGTTTCTTCCACTAGTGACAAGTCATCTGGAAATTTGGGTGTGTTGCTAGAATATAGTCGGTTCACTAATGGGATAATCAATCTACTGTTTCTTGCCTGTCTACATCTGTCTTGTCTCTAATTATATTTTCAACACCATTGTCACAACATAGATCATGTATTTCTTTTTTTAAAAAAGACTAGACTGGAGAATGAGGACAAAAAGAATTTTTAATTATCAAAGCTATGTGCTTTGATGGACATGGACAGAGTTACTAACTCAGAGCCTTAACTAGGAAAATATAATTAAAATTAATCAGGAATAATACTGAAAATAATAATAATAATGCTTAAGTAAATTACAGCATTACATATGGTAGGACATTATCCTCAGAAACTTGGTAAAAACACCATGATACTTCGGAATATAATGTATAAAATACATGGCGATATTAACACGAAACAGCACTGGAACACTATGAAAAGTGTGCGGAGGCTAAACTGGAGAAGTTAGGTAAAGACACATGGAGGGTCAAGTCAGACCCAGAGAACAAAATGTGGGGGGTTCTGTGGGGTACAAAGAATGAGGTTGGGGACAGAGACAGGTTTGGATGGAGGTTAAATGAAGAGAGGAATATAGAAAACTATGGGGAGGCGATTTGGGCTTTAACAGTCAAAGGATATAAAAGTAAAGGTTTCCTCCCAGGACTGGGGGCACCAAAGGTTGAAAAGGTTCGAGCCAGAACACCTGTGTGAGAGATTCCAGGACACCTTCTAACAAGAAAGCCGAAGTGGGAAGCAGGAGGTACATCCAGGGCACCTTATGGGGGCGCCCCTCCGGCCAGTGCCCGAGGGCTCCATGTGTGGGGGAGGCACACAGCACCCCTGAGTGCCTCTGTCATCGGGTGCCACCCTCCTCTGCCCCAGGTGGAGCTGTGTGCTCAGACACAGCCCAGAACTCAACACAAGCCATTCAGGAAAACGGCCATAAATATTCATTGGAAACTGCTTAATTGGTATTTAACAGAGTCCTAAGTATCTACTTCATAAGATGAAATTAAGCCTCCTGACAGTGCAGGAGATAAGCATTCAATGCATTTTATATCCAAGTATCATTTTCCCACTTCAGCTTCACAGCAGCCCTCAGAGTGCTGGGTTCTATTTATATCCCTTGGAGGTTTAGCTTGATACGCGCAGCAGCAAAATGAATCCATCGCTTCCACTTACTCACTGCTCTCTGGAGAAAGAGACAGTCTCCCGAGAGGTGACAGCATCACAGAAAGAACCTCCGGAGTTCCACCCAGCACCGCAGGCAGGTAAGCAGAGAAGACTGAGGAAAACTAGAGGATTTCCTGGTGCAAATGCCCATGGGCTAGTACCTTTGCTCTTAAAATAAGACAACAGGGGGCCCTCCCTGGTGGCGCAGCGGGTTAAAGCACAGCACTAAGAAGCTAAAGCTGCTTCAGCATGAGTTTGACCCCCTACCCGAGAGGTGACCCACAGGGCCGGCCTGACCTCTCCTGACCCGCCCACTGCTCCCTCAGCAGTGTAATTCGTGGATCTGCCTGTTCTGCTCCCCATTCTGTCTCTGTGAATCCTCTCACCGCCCCTGCACCTCTGGCCTGTACCCCAGTTCTGTGTGCATAAATGAATGAATGAATGAATGAATGAATGAATGAATGAATGAATGAATAAAAAGACAACAGGAAATGATCCCTAAGACCTCCTGCTACTCCTGTGTTCTGTGATTCCAGCTCCAGGTGGTAGTGGAGCTGTGTGATGTGTTCCACACCCATCACAGGTGCCGCTGGCTTAAGAAACACACTTTGGGACTCAGGAGGCCTGTGTGTTTGCATGAGGAAGAGCAACGGTGGAATGTTTTCTGTGATTTTACACTAACTGGCTAGTTTTGGTCAAACTCACCATAAGCTGGGGGTAAACATGGTACATGAGTACAGTCTCTGAGCACCAAATAGACTATTTCATTTGGTTCTGGAAATTATTTTGCAGTGAAGAAGACATTTGAGAAAATATTGCAATGGCTTTTTGTTGGTCAGCAGTTCACCTGGCATTTCAAGTCAAGGGAATCTACAGCTCATTCTAAAGCCTACCCCCTTTATACTGCGACACTTGTCCACCAAACTACCAGCGAGATACAAGGTCTTTTACAGACATTGCTTCATCCATTTATCTTTCAATTTGCAGTGCCCCTGAATTTCCATTAAGTAAGGATCTTCCCTCTTTAGTTATCAACTGCCACCTTCCAGTAAGTATTGATCTCCCCAACCTGGATCTCGCCTGAGCTCAACACACATAGGCAACGGACCCCAGGACAACTGTATATGGAGGCTGAACAGGCGCCCCAAAGCCAACATGGCCAACAGGGAGTCCCCAGCTCGCCACAGCAATGTGAGTGGGAGTTGGGGAGGCCTCAACTCCTCTCTCCCCCTAGCCCTTAGGCAGAGCTGACTACACTGGATTCTTTTTCCAATCCATTCCTAAGTCCTGTCCCTCTTCTTTTGTCTCCTGGATCCATAGCAGGATAACGAGTTGTCCTGGGCCAATTTCTATTCCACGCTCTTCACTGCTGCTGCAGAGCCCCTGACACTTCCATGTGAACTTGGCTCTGCCCAGCACCCTCATGGGGGACACTGGCCTGAGGGCGCAGTCATCACCTTCAGTACCCCAGACACTGGGGATCTGTTCCCAGAGAGTGTGTGCCGGGCCGAGGCCCGTCCGTGCAAAGGAGGGGATCACAATGGGGGGGACGAGGAAGCACAGGGCACTCAGACCCCAACAAGCGAGTCCTGGAGCATGGAGAACCATCACCCCACTGGCCCGGAGGGAC